TGACTGTTCTTGAATGGCCCCGCCAGAGCCCTGACTTAAACCCAATTGAGCATCTCTGGAGAGACCTGAAAATGGCTGTCCACCAACGTTTACCATCCAACCTGACAGAACTGGAGAGGATCTGCAAGGAGGAATGGCAGAGGATCCCCAAATGCAGGTGTGAAAAACTTGTTGCATCATTCCCAAAAAGACTCATGGCTGTATTAGCTCAAAAGGGGGCTTCTACTAAATACTGAGCAAAGGGTCTGAATACTTATGACCATGGGATATTTCAGTTTTTCTTTTTTAATAAATCTGCAAAAATGTCAAACATTCTGTGTTATTCTGTCAATATGGGGTGCTGTGTGTACATTAATGAGGGAAAAAAATGAACTTAAATGATTTTAGCATATGGCTGCAATATAACAAAGAGTGAAAAATTTAAGGGGGTCTGAATACTTTCCATACCCACTGTAAATTCAGACTGATATCATTATTAGCTTGGCAGTTATTCAAGAAAGGCACTGGGAATGAGTGATTAGTAAATGCCACAAACAGCTAAATAAATGTCCCATGCATACCTTAATAACAACCTGTACTTACAGTCCTTCATAAATGCACAAAATTCACACCCTTTGGCTGCATTTAATTCCACTTAGAGTCTACTTTAACATGCCTCCTGCTCCACTTATTAGGTCCACTCATCTTCACTCCAAGTGCTCAGCTGCACACTTTTGCCACAAGGGGGCTTTCACATGCAGTCAACAGCCTTTCCAAAAGTGACAATGGTGAAAAGTTATTGTACAAAAATTCCTTAAGCCAGATGACAGTCTGGATCAGCACTAAAATATAATATATTATTTCATGGGCCATAATCTACCTCTCCAAAAAATATCTAATCAAAATCCATTCATTACTTTTTGAGTTATGATGTGAACAAACACCAGTAAAACCATTCTGCCCTTGGTGGAGGTAATAATGTAAACACACAGGGGGGATTCTTTGTTCAAATAGCCACAGAGACACCACTGTCAATCCAGTCTGAGTGTTTATAAAAAATTTTTAAAAACTAGCTTTAATTGCAGCATACGTGGTTGTTCAACTTGTACACTTGTATAGAAAAATACTTGCATTGACAGATTTTTTTTGGCCAGACATGGGGCCAGAAAAAACAAGCTGTGAACACAACACTCACACTACCACCTTCTAAGTTAAAATGGTGAACTCGTTTTCCTCAAAAACTGCTTAGTTACAACATGTTCCTTCTAGATCAGCATGATAAGA